GGTTGTTGGGGGAATTGCTGTTATCGGGCACCAACAGAGGGGCAGTATGATGTCTCCCCAGTGCTGATGTGTAACACACACACTGCACCAGGTACTCATTCAAGGCTGAGTCAACCTACTGGAAGCCCAGAACGGGTTCAGATATTTGCCACCGAGCTTGGTAGCGAGCGGGAATCGAACTCGGTCCACCAGGTTCGTTGCGCACCGCGCTAACCGCTACTCCACCGCTCCTCCCACACACATTCAAAGACAAAGATCCCCAGCATATCCTGTACCAGACTGTTGGGGCAAGTGCTGTTAGCGAGCAGTACCTATGAAGGCCGGAACGGCACACTAGGGGTATAGGCGGCCAACACCACGCTTGGCCGCCTTTGTCTCCCCAGTGGCGATGTTTACTACACACCGCACCAGGTACTCATTTGACCGGTTCAGATAATAGTCACTGGTGTCGGCCGTGAGCGGGAATCAAACTCGGGCCGCCTGCCAGGTTCGTAGCGCACCGCGCTAACCACCTCGCAACCGCTCACCCCATATTTATACGCACCGGACACACACTCCACTGCTGGACAAATGCATCCCTTAGCCCGGTTCTGTGACGCGAATCTCCACCGAGTGTCGGTACTCGAGCCGACCTCGACGTCATCGCTCGTGCACACCCTCATTGCAGGTATGGTAATACACGCACTTGCTTTGCGGTTTACCTTAAACGCGCGGGAGATGCCCTTCCGCACAGGGGCACTGAGACCCGGGACGCACACTAAACTCAAAGTGAACTTTTTATCTTTCCAGCTAAGGCCCCACTGAGCTATATAGCTTATCTTCAGAAGCGACGTGGTTATCAAAAATGATAGCTCAACGAAGTGGCTTATCACGTGGAAATGTATCGGCCCACTGAGCCTCTATAGCCATTTTTCAGAAGCGACCTGGCCACAAATGATAGCTCAACGAAGTGGCTTCTCATGTGGAAAATTATAGCAGCCATATATTCGAAACGCATGTTTTTAAATGCAGAGGAAAAAACCCGAGGACCCGGAGATGTTTCCACGCGACCACGGGAAGAGACACCGCAAACTCCAAATATATATGGCAGGCGTCAGGGTCGGGACAGAACCCACGACCTCCTGTATACCGAGGTAGTTGACATCTCACCGCCATGGCACCCACGGTGTCAGTTGGCGTGCCAGTACCATGCACCATGCCAGCGCTGGATGCCTGCCGACGAGCGGCACATGCGAAGACGGTGTGAATTTCACCACGGATGACGACCAACGGACCTCGCGGCTCGCGATGCTTCGGCGGGGCGCAATTGTGGTGAAAGTCTGACGTAATGGAGCGAGGAACAATTTTCCCAACAATTCACATTCGAGCTCTCGTCATGGCGCCTCTGGCATTACAGCTCTAATGATGAACATTAAGTGGTTCTGGAAGGAGAAAAAAAAACGCTTTATTTGCGATGTGGCCCAATAATTTGACAATTCATGCCAGCGAATCATCTTTCGGCTGAATAGACACCGTTTTCGCAAGCATTACAATGTCTCTCCCGCAATACGTCACCTGTCCAGTTGAGAGCATGGCAGGTTTGGCCAATAGAATGCCTTCCAGTCTCTTGGCACGTCCAATGTCAAGAGGTCACTATGGCCAGTGTTGGTGATGCCAGCTCACTTTGGCCCATCGCATCCTCACCTATGCTAGAATCCTTCGGGTGTTTCATTGAAAAAATACCTGGGCTTAAGGGTCTGCTAAAACGACCATGCCTCCGTCTTCCGCTTCTTACACGGTCCACTTGTGCTTCAAGGATCACATTTATATTCTCATCATCATTAAGACCATCAGGCGTTGTCTTCCCCATTGCTGCACAGATGACACGTACTTTCATGACCCTTTTTACAGCCTCGACTCTTGACCTCGCCACGTGCACGGGTTTTCCTCCCACACCTATCAATGAACACTCATTAATTGGCTGAAAACATCTTAACACATAGAGGGCCACAGAGCTTGGCCCAATTGTTGGTAGTGCTGGCTCATTGCCTGGCTGCTGCTGCATTAGGGTCTCGTCTGTGGTTTCTCGTCGCACATCTTGAGGCGTTCTACCTATTGGCGAGCGAGTGAAGAAAACAATATAAACTATCTTGACTTAAAGCTTTCGTGGCTGCAGGAATTCATATTCTTTGGGTCTTTCGGTAAAGCCACGTATATAGGTTCAAAGAAAATAACAAAATAACAAAAACTACGATGTTTCGATCGCAACACAAGCAGTCGTCATCAGGAAAAGGGGGCTTAGCTTCTAAAGACAACTGCTTATAAAGGTTTGACATGGGCCTAGGTTTGAAATTGCCCATTTTAAACCTTTATAAACAGTTTGTCTTGAGAAGCTAAGCCCTTTTTCCTGATGACGACCGCTTGTGTTGCGATCGAAACGTCGTAGTTTTTTTTATTTTCTTTGAACCTATCTACGTGACTTTACCAAAAGACTCAAAGAATACATAAACTGTGTTTTATTTTTATTTTACTAGGTAAGGGCCACTGAGATATATAGCTCTTTTTTTCCAGAAGCGACCTGGCCACAAATGATCAGCTGAACGAAGTGGCTTGTCTCGTGAAAATGTGTAAGCAGCCAAATATCCAAAACGCGTGTTCCTAAACACAGAGGGGGAAAAAAACAGAAGACGCAGAGAAAAATCCACACGACCACGGGAACAGAGAGAGAGAGAGCGCGAGAGACACGCAAACTCCAACTATACAGCAGGGTCGGCATGGAACTCACGACCCTCCGGTAGTTAACCAGGCGAGGTAGTTAACATCTCGCCCTTACCGTGCTGCGCTACAAGTTAACGTTTGTGTTAACGCGCCGAACACGGTAACCTATTTAGTCACAGACGGGCGGCTGAAACCCAAATTCAAATCCAGGATCTCATCAGCACCGGGCTCAGCTTTTCCCTGACCCCTGAGCCAACCAACCACCTCCCTTGAATCCTGTAAGTCCCCTCTTGCCGTGTGTTGCACGTTAAAGAGACGGCCACGTAAAAAAAAAAATGTCGCGCTTGAATTTTAGTCAGAAAAAAATTCTATCGCGACGGCAGACACTCAACAATCGAGAAAACCATTCGAGTATTCTTACAGAACCCACGCAGGCTTGGCAAAGTGTTATGAAACAGCTTTTTTTGCGTCTGTTAATTTCCCTTTGTGACACGTCTAGCGGTGTAGGGCCAGCACTCATATTTTTTTTATTGATATTATTATTCTAGGCAGAGCTCCAGTTTACAACTGATGAGACACTGCGGCTGCATTATTTCCCTCATTTGGTCTTCGCTGCGGTGATGCCAGAGCTTAGCTCAGTGACGGATTTGACCTCTGCTTTCGCCAAAGAATTGGAATCGGATTTTGACGTTCGGATGGCCGAAGGCGCGGATCAGAATGAGACTCGATCAACATCGTTCTGATTTGGCTCGATCAGAAAAAAATGACAGCATGAATAACTGAACCTTACAAAATTGGCAGTGATGTTGAGGTCTTCTATCACATCTACAGCGGTGTGAATTCATTTGATTTGTAGCTTTGCCAATCTATATTTCTGGTGGCGGCGTGAAATCTATAGCATCGACCTTTGCGGTGAAGTTGCATAATCTTAATTTCATTCGGGTCGCAAAAAAAAAGCGAATATTTGCAAAAGACCGTGCGTCGGATCGAATTGGATCCACACGACCCTCTCCCCAGCCACCGAATTGCACATTCCTCGTCAAGGAGGCTCGCGCCATCACCGGCTCGTCACCTTGGAGGCCACCACAATGGCATTGCCATTGTCGTTAGCGGACAGCGATCGCGCGACGAAAGACCCCCCCCCCCCCCCTGCTGCCTCTGCCTGACACGTCAAGCATCTGCGCTGCTTCATTAGCAAGGGAGGTGGGTGGGGGGGGGGCAGGGTGAGGGTGCAGCTGCAGTCGATAATGATGGGGGGGGGGGCGGGTGGGGTGGCGTGGGGGGCTGGGGGCGGGCAACCCCCCCCCACACCAGGGGTCGCGTGTCGCTGGGAATTTTTGAATTTGTGATTTGCGCGACAGGAGCGGGCGGATGTGGCGCTCGGCGCAGATTCGTTGCATCGGGCGCTTGTCCGTGATCTCTCGCAGGGGATGGGGCAGTGGTAAAAAAAAAAATCTATATATATATTTTTAAGAGGCTGTGGCGGGTGGAAACGTTTAGAATGCATCTGAAGGTTTGCTAAAGTGCCGTACGTACGCGTACAGGTGGTCGGCTGAATGTGTTTCTTGCCGAATGTGGTGTTTCTTGCCGAATGTGGTATTTCTTGCCGGTGCCAAAATTCCTGTGCACAGGCTGTGTGAATTGGCCCCGTGTGTAGGTGTGTGTGTGTGTGCCATTGCCCCATCCGTGTGTGTTTGTGTCTATATGGGGAGCGGTGGTGCAGCGGTTAGCACGAGCTCGGTTCCCATTTACGGCCAACACCAGTGACGATTATCTGAACTGGCTCAGCCTCAAATGAGTACGTGGTGCGGTTTTCAAACACCTCCACTGGGGACACAGTATGATTCTGGCCATCCACTCCTCATGTGCCGTGACGATCTTCATAGGTGCTCGCTAAGAGCACTTGCCCCAACATGCTGTGAAGACTATAAGGGACAGCTTTGTCTTTCTTTCGTGTGGCACCTGGGTCGGTCCCGTGATTTCCTGCCAGTGGGCGTTTGACACTTCCCGTGACCTTAAAGTGCACTAAGCCTGGCACATGCACCGTGGGTGATCTCACCGACACTTAGTGGCGAATGGCGATTGTTGTTGTTGTTGTGTGCGCGTGCATCTCTACTCTGAGTGTATCAATATCCACGTGTCACCTGTGTGTGCATTTCCCGTGTTTGTACGCCGCTGCTCTGCGTGTACCTGCGCCCGTGCATCTCTGCCTCGTGCATCATGACCCGGCGTGTTTGTGCGTACGTAGTGCTCACACACGTGCCCGTGCGTGCGCGTGCCCGTGCGTGTGCGTGCGCGTGCAGACATCCGTGGGGTGCGCGGGTTCCTGGCGCGCGCCGCCCGCCAGGGAGCCGAGGTGTCGCTGCAGCAGGTGGACGGGAACGTGGGCCGCATGATCGCCTCGCTCTTCCGCTCGCTCAAGTACGAGGAGCTGAACCGCTACCGCGACTCGCTCCGCAGGGCCGTGCTGCTGCTCAACCCGCGCCTGGCACGCACCTTCATCGCCGAGGTATGCGGCGTTCGCTCGCCCAGCCCGCTCGCTCGCCTGCATTGTCATCGTTTCGTTGTGTGTCTCGTACTCCTGGGGTATGGATACTAACGGTGCTGCTCCGTGTTGTCGCGTATGCACGAGCAATTCTTAAGATGTATGTTTATCGGTTGCGTGGAATTTGGGGGACCCCGTGCACTTGGGCGCCTCAATCTGAGGGTTTCCTTGATGTGAAATGTGCTTTTTAATAGATTTCTAGATATTTTTTAAAGTTTTGCTGGCTAGCTGGGTGCCTGGCGTGCACCTTCATCGCCGAGGTACGCGGCGCTCGCTTGCCTAACCCGCTCGCTCGCCCGCGTTGTCATCATTCGTTGTGTCGTACTCCTGAGGTATGGATACTAAGTGGTGTTGCTGCGTCCTGTCGCGTAAGCACAAGCAATTCTAAAGATGTATGGGCGCTATGGTGGCGAGATGTTAACTACCTCGCCTGGTGTGCATGAGGTCGTGGGTTCGATCCCGACCTTAACGCCTGTATATTTGGAGTTTGAATGTTCTCCCCATGGTCGTGTTGGATTTTTCTCAAGGTCCTCCGGTGTTTCATTTGTGGCCAGATTGCTTCTGAAATAGTGGGCCTTACCTGGTAAAATAAACATATTTTTAGTAGTTTTATGCAATTCGTGGAATTTGGCGAACCTGTGCTCTTGAAAGCCTCAGTCTGAGGGTTCCCTGGATGTGAAATGTGTTTATTTTATAGGGTTCTATATATTTTTTTAGTTTTGCTGGCTGGCCGGGTGCCTGGCACGTGGTAGGGCAGCGTTGAGCCGGGGTCATGCATCCCGCTGACGGAACGCCTCCCCCCCCCCGCCCCCCACGGCCAGTGTATGAAATTGTGGTAAAACAAAAGATAATATGTGCTCACAAGAGCACATTCTTTCCAGCAACTCCATCCAGTGAAGCCTTGGTATTTACCCTCCGCTCACTTCCTCCCGGTGATGGCGAGTGAAGCGGTTAAAAAAATTACCGCGAGGGAGGCACAGTCTAAATAATAAATGACGAGGACTGCGTCTCAATCTTGTTCGTACCCACGGCCCTCACTCGCGCGTCCCAGCTCGCTCGATCTCGGCGGCACGCTGGCAATGGCAGAGCCAGGATTTATCAGGTAGAGGGGGGCAACCCCTCCAGCAATGAAAAATGATAGAGGAGTTGTTAGTAAGTAAGGACTTGTCCCCTGCTTTTTATTCGACGCGTGTGCCTTCAGGGAAGTCGTGGACTGTATCCGCAACTGCGCACAATTCTGAGTCACTTATAACTGCTTTGCCGTCACTTATTGCCAATTATGGACTCAGACTATTGTCCTATCATCTCATAGAGTCCCTGGCACGTAATACTATGCTACACAGTGGCAGTGGGGGTCGTAAAATGCCGATATATTACTAATAAACCACAATGATCCGATCGAAATTGGGGATTTCGATCGGATCATCGGGGGGGCACGTGCCACCACCCCCCCCCCCCCCAGTGTCGAGGAGGGCCGATGGTGGGGGCTGACGGCCGCTCTGCTCTACCGCGGCACGACCCAATGGGAGAAGGAGGGGGCGGCTGGTTTGGGGGTGGCGGGGGCTGGTTGGACCGGCCACTTTTCTGCTGCATTGGCCTCCAGTTGCCAAATTAACACACGCAACAAAGTGCTTGCCGCAAATGAACCGCGCAGTACCTTGCTGATCTCTACCCTTTAATCTGGCAACAAAACTGACACCTTTTTTACGAGGAGTCATGTTTGCATAGACTACAATACCTGCAGTCATAATGCAAACAAAAAACATAACTCTGATATTGTATGCACTGTCCTTGAAGTTGATTGGTCCACACGCCAAAAGGCGTCATCTGGTTCAGCACCATGTGAGACTAGGCTCTAAGGAAAGCTGTCTCGGGTGTGGACCAATCAAATTCAAGGACAGTGCATACATTATCAGAGTTGTGTTTTTTGTTTGCATTATGACTACAGGTGGTCTATGCAAACATGACTCCTCGTAAAAAAGGCATCAGTTTTGTTGCCAGATAAAAGGGTAAAAAACCAATTATCATATTTTTCTACTGACAAATGAGGTTCCAATGGTGTCTTGCTGATCTCGTTAAGGAGCATTCAATCATCATCACGCAAACTCCGGTCTTCCTCGCAGCGGCGGCTTTTGGTTGGGCACCGAACAAAGGCAGTCACCGCATCGCGCGCTTTCAGATGCGCTTCCCCGGCCGTCTGGAACGCTCTTCCTTTCCGCTAGTAGGAAGCCACTGAAGCTATACACTTTTAAATCATCTCGATTGAAAACTAATTCATTTAGAACTGCTTTTTGTGTTTACTTTTTTGTCCTTCCCCCTACAACTCTGACTAGCATGCTTGTCTACGTACGGTGCAAAAAAAGTTCAACATACGTACACTAAAATGGCACGGAGAGTTCGTCTGCATGCCCCAGCTCGCGAACCGTGACGCTCAGCCACATAGTTCCGTGAAGAACGCAGCACACCTGCTACTTTCAAAATCAACGTTTTTGGGTTTAGATCGCGTTATTTATAAATGTGTCGTAACCATCCACCACCCGACACGGCCAATCAGTAAAAAAAGTGTCACGTTGATAAAAGACAAAGAGTTCACTGCTTTAGCCCACCGGTGTGTTTAAGCGTGAAACCACAACATTTACAATTTGAGTACGACGTTTCGCTGGTAATTGCATCCAGCATCATCGGGCAATTCGCCAGATGATGACATATTTATAAATAACGCGATCTAAACCCAAAAACGTTGATTATGAATAATATTGTTCGCGAAAGCCTACGTGTTAAACCTGCTACTTTGTCGCAGCGCTGTGGTTTGCGAAGCACTGCTCTCTGCGTCACTGACAATAGCGGTGCCTAATCATGGACACAACCCCGATCGTTCATTTGGTGGAAAGGACGCCACGCTGTGGGCTAAAACGTGGGTGGCCCGCATCTGTCTACAATCGTACGTGTAATGTATAAAGTTTGCGACCAATATATATTGGGATTTTTTTTTATCAGGACAGGATCTCTGTCTGTGGTGAGTAGACCGTCCTTTTTGTATTTTTACTAAATCATCATTTGCGTCATTGCTCAAAATGGAAGAACGTTCGCTTGTACCTCTAAGGCCGTGTGTGTGTGTGCGCTCCCGCGCGCGCGTGCGTGTGTGTGTGCGCGCACTGTAGATTTAGCTTCATTAAATCGATATTTGATATTTTCTCTGCAAATAAGACGGCGCGGTGGTCGGCACACACCCATTGACTTGTCTACGAATCCCTGCGCGCTGCACACGTGCACAAGCCTCACATCGCAACTTAGGGAACAAGTGGATATTCTTAGCGGACTATATTTTTGGTTCATTGATGATTTCCACGGAATTCGAGATGGCGTGGATACCCAGTAATTGTTTTTGCACGCACGGACTCGCCACCGCCCGCGGCTTTGATGGAATGTTAAAAAGACAACGGCACGCATAAATTAACAAAAGACAAACGCAAATACACCCCCGCGTGGCCTGAACAGACCATTGGGGCAAGTGCTTTGAGCAAGCACACCCGTGAGTTAACCTTATGTGGGGGAGTGGTAGTGTAGTGGTTAGCATTGTTGCACTGCGCTATTAATAAATCATATATAGAGAACCGCAGAGCTTGGGCACTTGCTGGCACCAGCTCACTGCATGGCTGCCTTTGCAGTCATCTGTGGTACCTCCTTGCTCCTCCGGATTCGTCCTCTCTCTACAAAACGGAGCGAGGAAATGTTCACGTTACGAACTGAAGCAGAAATTATTACTTCGTACCTTTCTTTCGAAATCCTGCCTTCCTTTCAGTGCCTTCAACGCTGCCCCCCATCTCCATCACAACTCCCTCGGTTACCCCCCCTCTTCCACCCCTTCTTCCATTTACAGATTTTTTTAAACACCTCACTTGCAACTCCCTCCTCCTGTCAGGCTTGGGCCAGGCCAATAGCGGGCCACTACACGTGAATAATAATCCAGAGTGCTGGTCACTGCCTCTCTTCCTCACAGTGGAGGTCACAGCATTGGGACTATGTGTGACGTGCTTGGGGTTGGGACAGGGGTCAGAACGTTGATCCCCTGGGTGCCACGGTGGCGAAACGTTGACTGCCTCGCCTGGTATATACAGGAGGTCATGGGTTCGATCCCGACCCTGACGCCTGTATATTGGGAGTTTGCGGTGTCTCTCCCCGTGGTCACGTGGATTATTCTCCAGGTCCTCCTGTTTCTTTCCCTCCACATTTAGAATCCACATCACGCGTTTTAGATTATTTGGCAACTGCTATAAAAAGTCCTCGTTTTAAGCCACTTCGTTGAGCTATCATTTGTGGCCAGGTCACTTATTAAAAAGAGCTATACAGCTCAGTGGGCCTTACCTGGTAAAATAAAAATAAAAATAGTTTAGCTTTTTTCTTCTTGGTTCTTTCGGTAAAGTCACGTAGAAGGGAGCAGCCGTCCTCAGGTGAAGAATTCTTCACATGAGGACGGCTGCTTGCGTTGTGGCCGAAACGTCGTGAGAATTATTTTATTATGTTTTATTTTTATTATTTTATGACTTCCCTTCTACGTGACTTTACCGAAAGAACCAAAAAGATGAATCCCTGCAGTCACGAAAGCTTTAAATCGAAATTTAGTTTAGCTTTATCATTTAGTTCGGAGATGCAGAGTTGGAATCGGGGTTGCAGCCACCCACGACTAATCTGCGTTATCAAGTTGCAGCGACTTGGCAGTTCTTTCCCCGTACACAAACGACGGCACGAAAACAAGCCCCCGCATACAATTTAGTTTTCACTTTAATTCAGGCGTAATCCGGTTGCGAGGATTAAAAGTTTCCGTTTGATCGCCCGTGTGCCCTACGCTGTCTGTGAGGCAAATTAAAATATCTATGGCGGTGCGGGATGGTGCGTGTGTTTTAATAATTATCAATGTTTTACGTGTCCTGTATAAATGATCTTTGGGGATGGAGCTGTGGCAC